TGATCCTCGAGAAGGCCGTCTCCATGAGAGCGTACAGAGTCTCGTATGCGCTCTGTGTTTATGGTTAGCAGGAGCCGGAATGAACTTTCTGGAGTTGAACATGACAAACCTTTCGAACTTCAAGGCCATCATCCACCATATGTTTGAAAGGACCCATCATGACCTCTCTGATCAACTGTGGCTTGATCACCGACTCGGTCAACACAAACGGCATCAGCTCGCCGAGGTGAGGCAAAATCAGATCGGGCTTGTTGTGCGCAGCCGAGTTGAGCGTCGACATCGCCAAGCGACGGTTGTCCATCTCCGCATCCTGCAGCATAACAAGCAGCATGTCGACAAGGACATTCTTGAGCATGGTGTCAAAAGCCTCGTCGCCATCAGGAAGCGTGTATCGGACTGCCTGAACAGCCATGCCTCTGATGTCGGGGTTCTCATTTCTAAGAAGGGACTTCGTCGCTGTTAGCTATATTCTCTCCGTCATGAGCTTATCAAAACTTACCTGCAACTGAGGCATAAATGTCTGAGAGTCGATGATGGTCAGTCGTCCCACACATTCTGCGCACACCACTCGGTTGTCGGGAATAGTAGACGCAGAAAGAAGATGCTGCCAGATGTCGGCCGAAAACTTGGAGACTTCGGCAGAAAGAACGTTGACTTGCTGCAAGATCTCCTTTATCGACTGAATAAGCAGGTATTGCGTGTTGCCACCCTTTTGCATGGTCTCCAGGATGACTGGGAGGTACTCGGAAACATTGCCTGAGCCAGCACGGCCAAGGGCCACTGCAGCCGAAATAGAGACCTTGTCGGGCTCGTCGTGGAACTGTTGCAGGAATAGTTCCGCCTTCAATGGCGAGTTGGCTCCAAGACGGAGACCAGCCTCACCGAGCACCGCCAGTGCCAAGCTCAAGCGAGCGTCATCCTTGTTCCTGGAACTGGTTTGCAACTCGGAAATGAAGCTTTCAACTGTGACGCCAGCCGAGCTTCCACTGGCCACAAGAAGTGCACCAATGACCTTGCCCACGACAACGGGATCTCCTTCGATACTAACGTCGTTGAGAAGCCCTTGCATGAGAGGCTGGCCAGCGCCGCTCTCGCCAACTTTCGTGACAAGAATAAGGATTTGGTCCAGGACGATGCTGGCGTAGCTCGACTTGAGCAGACTGCAGATAGTAGCAGTCATTGACTGTGTGACCACGAGGTCTGCGTGGTCCTCGACGAGGGTCGCGAGAATAAGCAGGGCTGGTGCCAGCAGATGAGTGTCGTTGTTGCTGATAACAGGCACCAACGACGAGACCAGGCCCTGGATAGTGTCCGCATCCAGTTGGCCTCTGGCGGTCGGCGACATAACCAAGTGCTTGAGTGCGAGCACGCTAGAACCGCGAAGAGCTCGATTAGCCTTGCGGAGTTGTCCCGCCAGCTCCAAAGCGACCTCTCGAATCCACGACGTCTCGAGCTGGCCACTGCTAGTGCTGAAAGCCGCGACGTTATCGACGGCTCTGACGGCAGCCAGACGAGTGGTCTCGTTCTTGAGGCGGTCGAGAAGTGCAGCCAAGGCAGCCAGTCTCTTTTCCGTAGGGATCAGACCATTGCCATCGGCACCGGACGTTCTAGACAGCAAGACTCCCAATGCGTGAATACCACGTTGCTTGACTTCGGCGTCGGCGTCAGTTGCAGTGATTCTGTTCATAATTGTGTCGAAGAGTTTCTGGAGCTCGCCCTTGAACTTTTGTGCCGTCATCTTGGACCGAGGGGGAGTGATTGCCTTCACCAACTCCTCAATCGTCCCGATGGCTTCACTTGAGATCTTGTAGAATCGATCGTTTGCTGCCGAAATCACGCCAGCCACGATCTTGGTCAGGTATGGCTGCAAGAGGCTCGACGAGTGGGTCTTGGCAATATCGCTGGTGAGTTTAAGGGCGGCAACGCGCAGAGTACTGGGTGTTGCGGACGCATTTCCACCAGAGGCAGCCAGAGACGAGGAGAGTGCCGAGGCTCCGGTGGGTTTAATAGACTCAATGATGGGGCCAATGGCGTCGTTGAAGTAGTCGGAAAGACCGCCTCGCTGGACTGTGATGATATCATCGAGAAGGTTGATGATGGCCTGCTTGGTAGGAATAACCTTGCCCTTGAGAAGCTTGGTGGAAGCCTTCACAATCGTCGGGGTGAAGCGAGCCAGATCTGCGCGGGGTCCAGTTGAAGGGATTCTCTCGAGAGTGGGGGACGTCAGGCCCGTGGCAGCATGAGGGGTGTTCATAGAACCGCCGCCGCTGCTCTGTCGTCTGCGTTTTCTGCTGATAGGAATGGAGCTAGGCGCCTCGGGCACCTGGTCGTCGAGTGACAGATCTGTGGGGTACATGCCCTCGCCCGTCTTGCGCACAAGGAGAGACAAACATGCAATGACCTCGAGACGGACGTTCTCCTCTCTCTCGTCGAATCTCTTCACCAAAGTGGGTCCTGCCTGGCTGTACAGAACGCCATTCTCTAACAAATCACCGCTTCCACGGGTAGAAATGAGAGTGTAGAGAGCCTTGGCGGCACAACGACGGACCTTCCAGCTTGCGTCGTCATCATCGTCAAAGCCAGCATCGTCTTCGAACTCGTCATCATCCTCATCCTCATCCTCGTCATCAACGTCCATATCTTCGTCATCGTCGCCCATTGCGTAGTTGGGGTCGTACTTGAGATATCTGAGAGTTGCCTGGATGGTTTCGTCGGTAAAGGGGCGCATCTGTGTTGGGCAGGCGGCGAGGAACGACTCCAAAGCCACAAGGGCGGACTCTCGCACTTCGTTAAACTCCTGGCCGATGTCATCTCCGTCGCTGATCTCCTCCAGGTGCTTCTCAAGCTCACCCTCGCTCAAAGCTTGGAGAATGAAGGGCACCAGAGACTTCAAGTATGAGCCGAAACGGGTGGGGATCGATCTTGCCAACGAGCCGGTGATGGAAATGTAGAGGCGGCGTGTGACTGCAGAGATATCGGCCTTGTTCAGGTCGTTGCCCATGCGCTGGACCATGTGGCTAAGCAAGTCGTCCGACAGGTGAACAGCAAGTATCGAAATAGCCACCACGGCCCTCTTCTTCACGACCGACGACGTCTTGTCGTTCTCGAGCAGGGTGATAACCGCATCCTGCATCGCCTCGACCTCGAGGGGCGACAGCATGACGCCAAAGCATCTGACAACCTCGATAAGAATGTCCACCGACTCGGGGCTCAGGTCTTTGTCCACCTTAAGTAGACCCTGCGGGACGGGCGGCAACTGGATGTTGTTGGAAGGGTTCTGCGGCTGCGTCTTGCCGCCGGGTCCCAGCAGCCTTGGAATCAGAACTCGACTGACGGCTTGGTATGCTTCTGTAACGTCCTTGGTGGGCGGCAGGCCAGGTGTGGGTTTCGGGAGGGCCATGATGACGGCGCGGAGAGCGAGCGAGGGGACGGCATTGTCAACCGAGTTCTTAAGCTTGATTGCAGAGAGTTTCTCAATCATTGGCGCGATAATCGGGGTCGGGACTTTCATGACCAGCGGTCCGAGACTGCAGAGGGGAACTGGTTAGCTCTTGCCATTATTGCTCGTTGGGCAATCGAGAACGGATTTGGACGGGAGGGGTTGTAGATTCTCGCACCATTTGATCGCCAAGTTCTGCACCTCTCCATTCTGGTCGTCGAGCGCCTTAATGATGCTATCAACAGTACGCGCGGCAACATTGTAGTCGTGGTGCAGAAAGTCAGGCTTGCCGTTCGCCAGGACCTGGAGCAGATCGTTGAGCGACATGAACCGGAAATCCGGGTCTGCGTCTCCCAGCTTCTGCACCAGCTGGATCACCGTCTGGGGTGTCGGGTTCGTGGGGACGCTTGACGAAGCCATCTTGGATCGTCTCGTTTGGCGTGGTCTGGTAGGTGGAAGGAAGATCGAGGTGAGGAGGAGGTTATCGCGGCAGGTGGCGTGTCAGCGGGGAACCGGTTGCTCTGACCATGCAGAGAAAAAGAGGAAAGAAGAACGACCGTCCCGCGAGAAGTGGAAAGATGGCGGAAGATACGACGTGTATCGGGGCGGTAAATTGGGTTGGGTGTCTTTGATGCTGGCTTTGAATCACGGCAACAGAGACCCTCGTGAAAGAGGCGTTGTTGATGGTGGGGTTACAGGTCCCAGAGCTCCAGGCAGGAAAGGGCCCAGTCAGTGTCGTTGGGCGGGATTACCTTAGACAATACACCAGAGTACCCTGAGGCTGAGGTAAGGACGGAGAGAGGTCCCCTCAATGCTACCAGTTCCGGGACGTTCTTGCCCCGCGAAAGTGGACCCCCCACCACTGGGCTCTGCCTGCCCGCAGTGACCACCACGCTGGAGCGTCAAGTCCCCTGGGAGAACCATCGGCTCCCGGTCTACGGCAGTGGAGACGGGACGGAGCACCCATCCTCCGACGAGTTATTCCGGCTAAAGATTAGATAAGCATTCGGGTGGACCTTCCATTATCCACCTAGGTTTCCGTAGAACTCTCCCCATCTCGGGATTATGTCGTGCGGCCACCCCGGCAAATGTCGTCACCACAAAGCTGTGGGGAACCAGCCACCCCCGGCATCTGGAACTATCCAGCCTCTTCCCAACCATTGGCCGGATTGCTCTTGGGAAGCTCGTTGCTGGTTGCTGTGCGCAAGCTCGCAGCTCCGAGCTCCTAGACTTCGGACGGCAGGCCAGACAGGTCACTCAAATCAGCGCCAACATTGAACAGGCCAGAAATCAAGGCCAAGCCACACCAATCCAACCCCAGCTTTTTTTCCTTTTCTTTTGGCTTCCTTCCCGTGCTTCCCAAGCGGTTTTTTCTCGTATTGTTCTCTTAGTCCATTTCTCTCTCTCTTTCTCTCCCGTTATCCGTAATCTTTCTTTACAAAGGACACTCGCAACTGTTCCAATTGGTCGTGCCATTGAGCTTTCCTCCTTCATTCTACCTCAGCGAATTGAGCATTTCCCTGCATTTTTACGGATACCACTCCCTACACAATATCCAAAAATGCCCTTTGCCAGAGCAGCTCCCCTGCGTTCCGCCCTCCGATCCTCGGCGCGCCGGACCATCCGTCCCCAGTTCCGTTCCCAGGTCGGCCAGAGGACCTACGCCAGCCAACATGGCGCGAAGCCCCAGAGCGAGCTCCCTCTGTAAGTCAATTGCTTTTGTGTATCCTCAATCTGAGACCAGTTGGCCTCTTACAATTGAGTCTCTTCCGTGGACTATGCGATACACTACACCAGTTGCTTTGCCAAGGAACATTCATCTAACCACTATTCCATAATGCAGCGCCATTGGCTCAGTAGTCTTCTTCGCCGCGGGTCTGGCCGTAATCCAGCCGTGGAGCGCTCCCGCGCCGGCCAAGGGCCACGGCGACGCTCATGCCAAGCATGACGAGGAGGAGAAGCACGATGAGCCTGAGGAGAAGGAAGGGAAGGAGGACGACAAGTCCGAGGAGAAGAAGGAGCCCAAGGAGGAAAAGAAGTCTGATGATTCCGAGGAGAAGCCCAAGGAGGAGAAGAAGGAGGATGAGTCTGGGGATAAGCCCAAGGAAGAGTCCAAGGACGAGAAGAAGGGCGAGGATAAGGAAGAAAAGTCTGATGACAAGAAGGAAAAATCTGAAGACAAGAAGGAGGACAAGTCCGAGGATAAGAAGGAGAAGTCTGAGGACAAGAAGGAAGAAAAGTCCGAAGATAAGAAGGAAGACTCCAAGGATGAGAAGAAGGAGGACAAGAAGGAGGATAACTAAAGCCCCTCTACCCAACGCCTCATCACCAACGCCCAAACGACCATGATGCTCAAAAAGCTCCCACTAATCACCGCATTAATGGTCCATGTATAAAACTCTAGTCAGGTCATTTTGTTCTAATACATAATAAAGCATGGCCAACTCGGTATTCTCAACAATCACAGATAAAGCAGAACTGAAATCATCAAAGTAAGGTAGTTGAGAGGGTCCTTGGATTCCTTGCGTAGTATTATCCCCGTATGTACACAGACTACGCCTAGTGTATGCAATCCCCCATTGTCCACTGCCGACTGTTGTTTGACCTCTGAAAACGCCAAACGCAAAAAACCCATCCTGCTTTGTGGTATCAAGAACAAGAACCAGAGACGTCGAACCCGAAAAGGACAGCGAAAATAACCATGATGATAACCCATGGCAGCCAATTATGTACACAATCAATGAACCTCTCTTCGTCTCCTCCTCTCTATGGTCTAGACGATTGACCGGTTGGCCGCAGCTCAATGGGGCCATTCGCGTGAGTGTTCTTTGCGCTCCCCAACCACCTCGTTGCTACAGAAAGGCGTGGCTTCTTTGTTGGCTTCGACACACTCAGCTCTTGGTCCGCAATGTTGGTTTCCTCAACCGGGGGCGCGAAAGACCTGGCGGCCGAATCGTCTCTCGACCTTCGAGACTGCCGTGCCTGGTGGAATGAGGGCCGAGTAGTAGAGTGACTAGGTCTGGGCGCACCATCGACATTGGAGGGCCTCTCCTCGGTATGGCCAAAGACCGACTTCGTCTTGCTGCCGATAACTTCCAACATCGTTCCAGAGGTGTCACCGTGGCCACCTTCCATCCCCTCGGTCGCGTCATCCGCATCGAAGCCCTTCCTCTCAAGGCGTTGCATGATATCAACATCACGTGGCCAGTACACCCGGCGTATTGCGTCGACTATCAGCTCCAAGCAGACGACCGTCGCAAGTGCCAGGAGAATTGTAGTCCAGAAACTCAAGGTTCTGCCAAAGTTATTAATGAAGGCGTGGCGGAGCTGATAGATGCGCAAAATGGGCCGGAAAGCTGCTGACAGAATGATGTTCCACAAGAACCAACCGCCGACCGAAATAAGAAATCCGGCCAGAATGATGACATTCTTGTTTTCCATCTCAAGAACCCTAATTTCATTAGCAAAATGTCATGCATAGTTCCCCGTGAAGTAACTCACAGCAACTTGATGTTGATAAACACCACAGCAACCGTAAAGGGAACGGATCCCATTGCATAGAGTGATGTGTCCTGATCGAAAGGCAGCGAGTTGTAGACCGCCCAGGTCACCCAAAAGATGATGAGCGACTCAATGAGCCCGAGGAATGTCCAGCCGATATAAAGCTTGATGTTGAAGGCTCTGTTCTTGTGGCCATAGGTGTAGAGCTCGGGGAATTCGAGGAGCGTCTTGGCTTGCAAATCCTTTTCCAAACCGCCCAATAGGATAACCGCGAGTGACGTGAAGAACGTGTTGAACACTGTTAAACTCCAATTCTCATACAGAGACGTTCCGGTATATCCCGTGTAGCGCTGGAAATAAGCCTGTGGTAGAAAAAAGACGATTTCCTTCCAAAAAGTGGCGAGAATATATCTGCCAGTCCGAAGGTAGTTCCAGCGGCCGTGGACGAAGAGAAGACGCTGCAAGAAGCGGAATTGCGCAATGGCGTAGTCGGAAATGCGGGCGGCTTGGAGACCTTCGCGGCCCGAGATACCGATACCAACGTGCGAAGCTTGAATCATGCCGATGTCGTTGGCGCCGTCACCAATGGCCAGAGTCAGGGAGTGAGGTACTTGTCGGCGAATACGCTTGACGAGAGTAGCCTTCTGCGAGGGAGAGGCACGACAACAAATGACCGAGTCGACCCTCACTACAAGGTCGAAGAAGAGGAAGCTGAGATCCTCATCCCCTTCAATGATGCCCAAGGTCTGACCGTCGACCACTACTACCGCGTGGGGTGCCATGCCTCGGGCGACTTCACCAAGGGTCGACAGGATTGACTCTTGCAGATTGCCCATGATAGCATCCAAGATAAAGACCTCGGAAACTGGCTTGCACAGGCCGGCAGAGTGACCGATGTTGATGGCCGTCTCGCGCTTGTCACCAGTCAACATCCAAACCTTGATCTCGGCGCGACGAAGCTTTTCGATAGTTTCCGGTACGCCCTCTTGCAATCTGTCCTCGATGGCGGTGGCACCGGCAAGGTCGAACTTATCCTCAATAAGCTCACCGGCAGCCTCAATCTTCTCTTGGCGATTATCCAAACTGGTGGTGGCATCGTGGTAGATCTTTTTCCACGTGTTGTAATCATCCTCGCTGATGTATCGGTAACCGTAAAGTAAAGTCCGCAATCCCTCTGAGGCAAACTCATTGATGTGTGTGAAGCATCGTTCGAGGACAGTGCCTTCATTGAGGGCCACTGACTCGTCAATGAAGTCGTCCACTTCATCCTCGTTCGCGGACATGGCCATACTGTGACGTGGCGATGACCAGATTTCGTGGGCGCTCATGGGTGAGAGAATGTCTGCCGAACCTCTGCGAGAATTCCAGGCGTCAGGGTCGTCAGTGACGGCGCTGGATCGTCTGAGCATGTCACCAGAGATCCTCTGATTAATCATACTGCGTCGATCAGACATTGACGTCCTCCCAATCACGAAGCTGCTGCGGGGCGTTCCACTTGTGCTGAGCCGTTGTTGTGCCTTTTCCCTCTCAACACTCCTACGAATCGAGGCTCTCCGATTGACGTCGTTTGCCTTTTGCGTGGCGAGACCGCTAAGCTTGAGACGAGGCAAGATGACGTTATCAGCGCCTTTGCAGAAAACACATACTCTGCCGTCTGGCATGCGCATGATGATGGACATCCTCTTCCTCTGACTGCTGAACTCAATCACGTCTAGCACCTGGTACGTCTCTCTTTTGATCGTTCCGTCAGCTTCGGGCATCTGAAGAATGACCGACTGCGCAGGCCGGTCAATGAGGAGGTAGCCGAGGTCTCGCGCAGCTTCAACCAAAGCAAGTTCATCGGGAGAGGCGGCTTGGTATTCGATCTCGCCGTCTTCCTTGATCTCGGGTAAACATGTATGACAGAGAGCGATGCAGAGTAGAAACTGTTTGGCTTTCTTGGAAAACACAGTGTCCGGTTTGCGTCGCAGGTAGTCGAGCAGATCTTCAGTCTTGAGCTCAGGCTCGGCTTGAGGGGCCCGACTTGTGGAGCGTCCTCGTCCATAAGTGCTGATGGATGGCCTTCCTTGTGCTGGCGTCAACGACGAGTAGTTGTCGTGATCGCTGGCTGTCTTTTCGCGGTTTTTATCCTTGCCTTTTCCTTTGCGCTTTTTCCGGGCCATTTCGATCAACTTTTGCTTGGCGTGTTCGTCTCGTTCAATGTCCATGTCGTGCAGCCACGCGGTGCCGGCGACGCTCATCTTTCTGAAGCGCATCACATTCTCCGTCAGGGTGCCTGTCTTGTCCGAAAAGACGTAGTTGACTTGGCCCAAGTCTTCGAGAATCGTCGTCGTGTTGGCAACCATTGGCGTGTTAGTGACCGGGTCGTACATCTCGACGTCTCCCATCATGTAAAACTGTATGATCTTAATGATTTCCAAACTGATGTACAACGACAGCGGAATAAGGGTGTTGAACATGAGGATGAAGGCAATGAAGATCTTTCTCATACTAATGCGTTCACCCATGAAGTACCAAGAGGACTCGTGGTCTCGCCACAGATAATGGCCCAAGGTTAGACCGCTGCTTAGTCCGAGTAGCACTACTATGAGCCAAACGACGATTCTGTTGAGAACGCGCTGCATGGCGGGTGCTTTGGTGCGTACGTGCTTGTGAGCGTTCATTCGGATCTTGCACTCTTCACCCGTATTCACGACGATGCCGATAGCCTCTGTAGTGTTTCGCACCGTAGAACCGCGGTAAATTACATTGTCGAGTGACAGCGGCAACGTCTCTCCGTCGATAGTAACACGCCCGTCGTACCGGTAAAGGTCCAGATTTGGGTCCTCGGAAACGATGGTCGCCCGGCAAGACTCGATGCCTTCCAGAGTTTGACACCTTTCAGCGAGGATGGGCGAGGCTCTCTTCGCCTTCAAATTCGTCTCGCCGTCCAAAGCCATAGTCTCGATGTAAGCGGTGCCATTGGGTCCGGACGCATACAGAAGGACGATGTCCGCCGGAATGTCGTCGTCTCGTTGCAGTCTGACGACGTCGCCAACCTTGAGGTCCTGCCATTCAATCTCAGTCCATCCATCTGCCGAGTGTTCAGCAACTTCGCCGCCCTTGTGTCTCTTCATCCTCACTGTCGCCTTCTTGGATCGGTCGCCCAAAACCCATGCGCGACTCAAGTTTTCGGTCTTTGCCAGCAGATACCGGCGGTAGTCGTCGTATCCTTCCTTGGCCATTGACAATGACACAAACACGGCGAGGGGTGCAATGGTAGTCCACTGGCCCGTGGTGCTGAGTCCCGGGATAGCCTGAATGATACCGACGACAAGGAAGTAGAAGTTGCCCATCTTACTGAACTGGAAAAGGAGCTGCTTGGGCAGGAAGCTCCATATCGTGTATCGACTGGATCGGATAAAATTACTGGCGTATGACTTCTTAGTGCGCTCGTCGATGAGATGATCACTTCGTGGCCTTGACATGTCGAGTGCGATATGCCTTCCATCTACGCTCGGCGGGAGCGGCTTCTGTCGCAATAATCCCTGCACAATGTACACATTGTACGCTTTCCTCAGCTGGTCGCTCACCGACTCCTGCGCAACGCGCCATTTCGTCCGTTTCGTTGGCTCTGGGCGGTAGACTGGGTACTTGAGATCAGAGTCTGAAGGCTGGGCGGAGCTGTGGTCGCTGCCCCGTCGAGGCCGTGAGGATGAGGGCTCGTCCTGGATATGGCCCTCAAGATCACCCCTCGAGGGAATCGTATAGAGCCCTGGCCTGTTTGAATTGGGATGCGATGAGGCCGGGTCGAAGCTACGCCTCGAATCGCGTTGGAACTCATCCGAGAAACGGACATGGCCGCCGTCGAGGGCGCCTTTGCTCCCCATGGGTTCGGTGATGGCTCGTCTCGGGTGTATTCGTTGCGCTGCGCGCGGCGCGGGGTTCACTGATGGCGAGGATATGTCATGAAGATGGCTGTCATTATGGTCGGAGGAGGTTGAGCTCGACAGCGTACTTGGGGCGGGGTCAGCGTCTTCATGTTGCTCTGAAGGGGCGTCGCCCAGATCCCGGCTATTCATTCTTGAGGGGCGCGCGAGGCTTGGTCGCTTTCTGTCTAGGTCGTAGACTGTACCAGTGTACTGTGGCAGTCTCAGTCTCAGTCTAGCCCCCAGAAGCGCGGATCGAGGACCACGGTGGTGGTTAGCTGATTAAGGCTAGCTCGAGACTAGAAGGACGGCAAAAATGGACTTGTTCCAGACGGATCCCTTAGAAAGCGGCCCGGATTCACCAGAGTGGCTCGGCCATGAAGCTCTTCATTGGGCTCGTCTTGGTGGTGGCGGCGCGTTCCTTTCTGGATCTGGCGTGGTCCTTTGGGGTCGTGGGATCTCCAAGTGCCGGGTCAGCGCAGGTGGCTAAAAGCTGTACAGAAACGTATATTATTGCTTTTGCAGGAAGAACTGAAAGCGTCTGAAGATATTGATAGGATCTGCGGTTGCGACGACGTCACGGACGGGTATAATGCGTATGTGAGAGAGAGCAGTCGTCTTGAGGATTAACAATTCGGGAAAATGCTGATGGTGTTGATGATGAACAGTGGTGTTGAGAAGTCAACAACAAGGTGAGCCTCGAATCGAGGAGACCTCTTGGAAAAATTGGCAGGCTGGGCGGTGCTGTATTCCCGTAAGAGGCGGACGCCGAAGGAAGCGCCGGCGGAAGGTCCCCGTAAATGGAACTAGATCGATGCTCCCCCATCAATTGCACTCGTCAATCGTTGGCAGGCCGCAGATTACCTAGATACCTGGGCGCACCTGGGCAAGTACGTAGGTAGATGAGAGAGCTCCTTGGCAGTCTCTTGTCTTCCTCTTGGTAGGCACTTCGTAAGATAGACAGCCCGAGTACGCAGTAAGCTGGCTGGAGAAGAGCCGAAAAGGTTGCAGCGTACAGAGCTGCGCCGCCTTCAATACGCAAGACGGACGACGACGAGGCGCTTGGCAAAAAGTCAAGATTATCAGCCCGCGGCTCATACTGGTGTGTCGGTGACTAGGTAGGTGGGTTGGCAGGTTGGCTATGGACCTCGGAGGGTCTTGGTGGGAATATCCAGGGACGAATATGTACTGGAGCCCCCAATCAACGGAGAAAGGCTGCACTTTACAAGGCGAGCCTCAAGGTGGGAGAACCTGTCTGAGTCTCTGATGCGGGCTTGGCGCCTCTTCTGCACTGCCACGGTCATGTTCTTGCCCGATGTTCCTTACCAAGTACCCGTACGAATCAATAAAAGAGCCCGCGCGACAACTCCTCATGCACCACGCGCCCATCCGCGGTTCGCGGAGGTCGGGTCAGGTACGTTGGCTGGATCCATGAATTCGTGGGGCCATTGCGGTCGGCAGGTCGGGCGCGAGAAACAACAGTTTTCGTACGGATACAGCACACGAGCGAATGAAGAAGGACGAAATAGAAACTTTCTCGTCAAGGACCGGGGAGCGGGAGAGAAAAGTTCAGGTGGCCAGCGGCCAGCCGCCAAAGAGCAGAGGCCGGGCTGGAGCAGGGGGCAGGCGACAGGCGACAGGCGACAGGCGAGCATGGAGAAGATGGGAAAGTCCCGACTTCCGACTGGCAGCTGCTCATTCGATATTTCGCCGTGCCCCCCCCCCCCCCTCCCCGCATTGAGGACGTCATTGGGCAAGAGATGGGATGGATGCACCTGCTGTACAAGGTATGTAAACTTCCCAGGCTGGAATTGCCAAAGTGCGAGCGAAGCAGGAGCCAAACATCCATCCACCCATCGTGCCTTCCTCACGGGAATACGGATACATCAGTACGTACCGAGCTGTCCGCCCATCTCCAACAACAGAAGGACCCGCTCCGCCTACAACCTGCCTGCTATCCGACCGAACGGACGTCGGAAGCTGCGGACGATCTCAGGAAAAGGTTTCGATCATCCATCCATCAACCACAACCTCAACAAGTCATTGACCATCTTGGCGACCGTCACAGCTCCCATCACACGCTTTTCTTGGTGGTGTTTCCGTACGCTTTGAAACATTGCGAGTGCGAAAGCAACACCAGCACTGCCCGTCCTCCATGACTTGGCACCAGCGTCCTGTGTGTGTGTGGACAAAAGAAGACCATCCTCCAAGTGGCAGATGCAAGTCCAACTAATTACTTTGTAGCTTAATCAACAACCACGCGATTGACAGAAAGCAGCAAAGTCGCTGACAGCATCCACACACACCTACTTCATAAATACACTACACTACTGTGTACCTACACTGCCTCAACTCACATCATCTCACGTGAGTTCAATTAGCATACCGAAAACAAGTCCAAGACCATCGTCGTCCTTCAGACGAACGTGGCCGATGGCTGGTAGCCTACAAACTCTACAGGGAACTACCTAGATCTTAAAAAGACCTACCTACTGCGTACCACTATCCGCAGGTACTTTGTGCGTCTATTGCAGGGAAGAAGAGACACCCGACCCGATCTCTACGATACATACAGCAAAAACATTAGAGTTCCCCGTATCCGGCTGCATTTCCCACACGAAAGGTGCCACAGACCCCCCTCCGCTCCGGCGTCCAGGAAGGTAACGCCGTCCCATCTCGTTTCCATCCGTTGATGCCTGCAGCAGTGCAGCATGGAACCTGGCTCCCGAGCCTTCTTCACAAAAGAAAAAAAAAAAGTCGGGCAATATCCCATACCGCCGGAAATTTCCGTCAAACCCCTTCATACCAACCCCAAAGCGCAAGCGCTCGAGTCCACAATGCCTTTGAATCGTTCCCGTCGGATCCGCGCTCTCGGAACCACACATCTCAAGACTTCAAGAGGAAGAAGAAGAGAGGCACTGCGTCTCTATTGCTACGATTGAACAGAACAGGATAGTCAATGGAAAGACAAATCTCGCCCGGCTTACCTTACGTTAGGGAACACAGAAGCATCCCTCAATGACCCCCCTTAGACCTCGTGTTAGCGGGCCGCCGCCTCACTCGCCACATGCACCCCGAGCACCAACCAACCCATCCATCCATCGCATCCCATCCCCGCTTCTCAAGGACCAGCCGGGCTCGCACGCCAACGTCCTCTGGTGAGCTAGGGTAAAAAAGCGATGGACAAGCACACAAGCTAGGCAGTTGGGCAACCGAACATCAGCCGACCAGTCGAGACCTCGCACTACTTTTGGTCTTACACGTTGATCCTCTTCTACTGACACTCTCATAGACACCGTATACAGGAATACGCTGTACTTCTACACTTGAGGCAGAACATAGGTATTGCATCAGACTCTGCGAAACACAACCTCACGTAGTACTCCGTATACTGATACCAGCCTGCCCTGCCCTGCTGCGTAACGGAGCACGCGGCTGCGAAAAAGCCCCCAACCCCGGCCGGGCTCTCAAAGGCAGATCAGATTCTCCTCAGCTCAGCCTTACCCGCACTACTTGACGAGAGAGATATATAGGATGGAAATAGCATCTATAAAGTATTACATTCGCACGACCGACCGCTCGTAACAAAGGGTTTGTCTAGGCGAAGATGGTACTCCAATTCATTGCACGTGTGGGCCGTCAGTCAGCCTCGCTCAAGAATCGAGATTGAAGAATTACCGCGAAGACATCCCTCGCTGCCGTTTCGCAGGGCACACTCGTTGGCCAAGACTTGTTGCCGCAAGAGGATTACTTACGTGTAGTCACAAATCATTCAAGTCACATCACAATCATGGAACCAAATATTGAAAGTGGGAAAACAGGGATTCAATGCCCATCTGTATCTCAACTCTATCGTCAGTGCTTACAAGCCAGCCGCTTCTCTCTCGAGTAGCTGCCGGCCAAGCCTCTTCGCTGCTCGGCCACCGGAAAGGCGGCTTCCCATCACCACCCCCCTTCGGTGCCGGCATACAACAACAAAAGCCACAAAGCCCCTGCTCCCACAACCCATCAAACCAAGAAAATACCCAACAATATAGGTAAACAAGTAATGTGTGTCTTGAGAGAGTTGTATATCCTCAAATAAAAAAATGTGTGTTGTGTGACTGATTACGAACCAGGAAAATCCCAAGCCACCTGGGCTTTTCCCCATTTTCATTCTCCAAACCCCGCAGCCAGGACATCTGAGATTCATGAACGACGACAGATGAAATAAGAAACAAGCAACGAGACAGCGATGTGCAGCGCAAGCCAACCAAGAGAGAAGGGAAGGATATTAGGGGCCACGCCGTCAACTCCGCGAGGTAGGCGTGGCTAAAGGACTAGGTTTGGTAATGGATTGGTGCATGATGAGATGCCCACACCCTCGTACCAGAAGCCGGGTTTTTTGTTCGCGACAATAAATGACTCGAAGGGTGAAGTAAATCCAAAAAGTGCAAAGGTACGATCGCCTGTGCCGGACATGCATGATCGAGATTCCGAATAGAGGTATCGTCATGCAGAGTCGTCGTGGCCGATGGATGATGTTGTAGCGAGAAATGAATCACACATCGTAGTCATCGGTGTTGAAAGTAGACCAAGCGCAACCCCATCTGGTATATGTTGAGCGCCTAAAACGCCAGCTGTGAATGACCAAGGCAAGCAACTCCTCTCTCCCGAATAAACCATTTGAGAGAGCACGCCTCCCAAGTTTATATGTACGCCATGTCCTAGTGAAAGGAACCCAAGATTCATCCTGACATGTCTAGGCACGGCAGGCCGACAGCAGGAATCAGTGGGGTGTTTGGTGCATGGACTCGGGAGACATCGAGTTGGGGTCAACGTGATCAAACTGGACCAGTTGGTTCATGTCGAGGTCGTTGTGGCCATGCTCACCATATGCAGGTGAGTGAGGGTGCATCGGCAAGTTGATGGTGTGCTTGGAGTACATCTCGTTCAGGCCGGTGCCGTCATCAGACACAGCACACGATCCGTTGTCGCCCTGCTGGTAGATATCGGCGGAAGCAGATCTACCGAGCATGGAGAGCGGAGGCGACTGCTCAACGATGGACGGCTCTCCGTGGTGGCTACCGAATGAGAGGGGAGACACGGAGGGCGGGATCATGCTCGGTGACGGGTGCGCCATCGGGGAGAGGAAGGCACTGCCGTACGGCGTG